TAGTCTTGGTTTAGCCCTGGTACAGTCCTGGTTTAGTCCTAGTATAGATTTACTACGTTCTAGTTTAGTTCTTGTCTAATTACAAATTTCAGGTTTGGTTTAATCCTGGTTTAGTCCTGGTTTACTTGTAGGCCTATTCCTTGTTTAGTCCTGGCTTTGTCTTGGTTTTCTTTAGTCCTGATTTAGATCTGGTTTAGTCCTGGTTTAGCCCTGGTTTACTGTTGGTTTAGTCTTGGTATGACCTTTGCTCAGACCTGGTTTAGTCTTGGTTTAGCCCTGGTTTACTGTTGGTTTAGTCTTGGTTTGACCTTTGCTTAGACCTGGTTTAGTCTTGGTTTAGTCTTGGTTTAGTTCTAGTTTAGTCCTAAATCACCTGTATACCTATTCCTTGTTTCGTCCTGGTTTAGATCCTGTTTAATCCTGGTTTGGCCCTGGTATAGAACTGGCTTAACCTTGATGTAGTCTTGGTTTAGTCTTGGTTTGACCATGGTTTAGTCCTGGTTTAGTCTTCTGGTTTAGTCCTGGTTTGGTCCTCGTATAGACCTACTATAGACCTACTATGACCTGGTTTAGTCTGGGTTTATTTATTGTCAAATCTCAAGGTTTATTTCTGCATTGTCCTGGTTTACCTGCAGGCCTATTGCCTGTTTAGTCCTGTTTAGCTCTAGTTTAGTCCTGGTTTGGTCCTCATATTGACCTACTATGACTTGGTTTAGTCTGGGTATATTTATTGTCAAATTTCAAGGTTCAGTTCTGCATTGTCCTGGGTTACTTGCAAGTCTATTGCCTGTTTAGTCCTGGTTTAGATCTGAATTAGTCCTGGTTTAGTCCTGGTATAGACCTTGATTTAGTCCTGATTTAGTCCAGGTTTATCCCTAGTTTAGCCCTGGTTTAGTCCTGGTTTATCACAGATTTTGCCCTTGTTTAATCCTGGTGCAGTCATGGTTTAGTCTTGGTTTAGTCCTGATTTAGTCTTAGTCTTGGTTAAGACTAAACCAATACTTTGTTTAGCCTTGGTTTAGTCTTTGTTTAGTCTTGTTTTAGTCCTGGTTTAGTCCCAGTTTACCTGTATGCCTATTCCTTGTTTAGTCCGGGCTTTGCCCTGGTTTTCTTTAGTCCTGGTTTAGATCTGGTTTCGTCCTGGTTTAGATCCTGTTTAATCCTGGTTTGGCCCTGGTATAGAACTGGCTTAACCTTGATGTAGTCTTGGTTTAGTCTTGGTTTGACCATGGTTTAGTCCTGGTTTAGTCTTCTGGTTTAGTCCTGGTTTGGTCCTCGTATAGACCTACTATAGACCTACTATGACCTGGTTTAGTCTGGGTTTATTTATTGTCAAATCTCAAGGTTTATTTCTGCATTGTCCTGGTTTACCTGCAGGCCTATTGCCTGTTTAGTCCTGTTTAGCTCTAGTTTAGTCCTGGTTTGGTCCTCATATTGACCTACTATGACTTGGTTTAGTCTGGGTATATTTATTGTCAAATTTCAAGGTTCAGTTCTGCATTGTCCTGGGTTACTTGCAAGTCTATTGCCTGTTTAGTCCTGGTTTAGATCTGAATTAGTCCTGGTTTAGTCCTGGTATAGACCTTGATTTAGTCCTGATTTAGTCCAGGTTTATCCCTAGTTTAGCCCTGGTTTAGTCCTGGTTTATCACAGATTTTGCCCTTGTTTAATCCTGGTGCAGTCATGGTTTAGTCTTGGTTTAGTCCTGATTTAGTCTTAGTCTTGGTTAAGACTAAACCAAGACTTTGTTTAGCCTTGGTTTAGTCTTTGTTTAGTCTTGTTTTAGTCCTGGTTTAGTCCCAGTTTACCTGTATGCCTATTCCTTGTTTAGTCCGGGCTTTGCCCTGGTTTTCTTTAGTCCTGGTTTAGATCTGGTTTTGTCCAGGTTTAGCCCTGGTTTAGTCCTGGTTTAACTCTGGTTTAGACTTCTGGTTTAACCCTAGATAAGGCCTGGTTTAGTCCTGTTTAGCTCTAGTTTAGTCCTGGTTTGATTAACCTACTATGACGTGGTTTAGTCTGGGTATATTTATTGTCTAATTTCAAGGTTCATTTCTGCGTTGTCTTGGTTTACCTGCAGGTCTATTGCTGTTTAGTCCTGGTTTAGTCTTTGTTTAGTCTTTGTCTAGTCCTGGATTAGTCCTGGTTTAGCCCTGGTTTAGTCTTGATTTAGTCTTTATTTAGTCCTGGATTAGTCCTGGTTTAGTCTTTGTTTAGTCCTGGTTTTGTCTTGGTTTTCTTTAGTCGTGATTTAGATCTGGTTTAGTCCTAGTATAGACCTACTATATTCTAGTTTAGTTCTTGTCTAATCTCAAATTTCAGTCTTGATTTAGTCCTGGTTTAGTCCTGGTTTAGTCATGGTTTAGTCCTGGTTTAGTCCTGGTTTAGCCCTGGTTTAGCCCTGGTTCAATCCTGGTTTAGTTCAGGTTTATGCCTGGTTTAGTCCTGGTTTAGTCCTGATTTTCCTCTGGTTTAATCCTGTTTTAATCTTTGTTTAGTCCTAGATTAGTCGTGGTTTAGTCTTGGTTTAGTCTTTGTTAAGTCCTGATTTAGTTCTGGTTTAGTCTTGGTTTATTCTTAGTTTAGTCTTGGTTTAGTCCTGGTTTATTTCTAGTTTACCTGTATGCTTATTCCTTGTTTAGTCCTGGCTTTGTCTTAGTTTTCTTTAGTCCTGGTTAAGCCCTGGTATAGACCTGGTTTAGCCCTGATTTGGTGTTGGTTTAATCCTGGTTTAGTCCTGGTTTTACCCTTGTTTAATCGTGGTATGGTCCTGGTTTAGTCTATGTTTAGTCCTGGATTAGTCATGGTTTAGTCTTGATTTAGCCCTGGTTTAGTCTTGGTTTAGTTTTTGTTTAGTCCTGGTTCAGTCCTGGTTCAGTCCTTGTATACGCTCTTTCACTCATGGTTAAAATATTGAGTCAGTGGCTGTGTTTTCAGTGAGTTAAGTGTATGTTTTTGTCTGTTAGCGCAGTGGGACATGTTTGGGTAATGGCCCTTGGAAGTGGAGGAGCGTTCATAAATCATGTCTTGGTTTGGTTCATTTGTTTATGTGTAAAAGTGCGTGTGAACATGGGAGCGTGTCAGCAGTGGGCAGTAGAGTCATCACATCCAAAGTACTGAGACGACAGAAGAAAAACATGGACCCATTTAGATCCACGTTTTAAGAGAAGAGAAGAAGTAATGCAGTCAGTTCAAACATGTTTACATTTCAAAATAGACGATTTCTCTTTGAATGATGACTGATGATTCTAAACCAAGACTAACACATGTCTAAAGGCGTTTGGAGCTATAAATTACAGCCTATTTTTACTCCAGGGTCTGACATTGTATTTTAATTAGCATTAAAGGTCCTATATTATACAAAATTGACTCTTGTGAGCTTTAAGTCATGTTAAAATGTTGTTAATTCCTCAAAGACTTGTGATTTGTTTCATTCACGTATATTTGAGAACAGCTATATTAGTTGGTCTACATCTCCAAAAACTTTTACCTTTTGCTCAGTAGAGATTGGCAACTCCAGGGCTGAAATTATACAAATGATTCTAGTGAAGGTGTATGGATTTGTAAAACACGGTGGAGCACTTCCTGTATTACCACATGACATCACAATGTGGAACAGAGTGTTTTCTGTTTGAGAGAAGAACTCAGCCTAAATATGCAGGGTTTGTGTGATAAACGTGTGTGAATGAAACAAAACACAACTTCAGGTCTGTTTGTGATGAGAAAACAACATTATTATAAAATGGGATCGTTAATTAAGCATGAATAAAGACACACATTTATTTAGAATGATAATGCACTGTATAACGTTTCAGGTGGAGGGTTCGTCAACTGTTTTTCTTCATGAAGATGTTACTGCTTTGTCTGAAATGTTTCACAGTATCAAGGTATTAAACCTTTCTGTCTTAAGTTACAGGTCAGATCTGTGGAGAAGCAACCCCCCACCCCTGTCCCCCCAGCTCTCATCCCAAAGCGTCATGTAGTGACTCAAACAACTAAATCAAATAATTTATAAGAATAAACAATATCATGTATAGCTGCATTGTGATTTTAATTGATCTTCTATGGACACATATTTGCATGTATTCAATGTGACTGCAAAATAATGGGAATTGCGCAGTGACTGGACTGTGTGTAATATTTTGGACTGTGCAATAATGGAAACAGTATAATGAGTGGAGTGTGCAATATTTTATTGTTTGACCCTCTGTGACGTCAGACCTTTGGGACAACAGATGGAAATTAGCCTTAGTCAACAATCCAGTGTGTTTACCGGTACATTCATGTTATGTCCTGTTTGTCCATTAACATGCTCTGTCCCAATCACATAAATAAATTAATAAATACATAAATAAATACATAAATTTGAATTAAATGTAAAATGTTCACATTTATATAGCACGTTTCTATCTTCAATGTACTCAGAGCTCCTTAGATCAAGGAACACTCACACACCAGTGTACACACACACTGGGGCTAGCAGGGTTAAGTTTCTTGCCCAAGGACACAATAACAGCATTCATCTGCATCCACTGGGACTGAACTACCAACCTGCGGGCTAGTGGGTTTGACCGCTCTACCAATAATGTTTAAGTCGAGAGCAGGACTCAAACCGCCAACCTTCAGATCAGAGGGAAAGCACTCTACCAACTACTGAGCTACTGTTGCAACCATAGGCTCCAGTCAAATGAAGCTCACCAAGGCTGGCAGCTATATGGGTGAATATGGAGACAAGCTCCACATTAGGAATATAAATGTATTTACGGACAAAATAGTGAAATAAAAACGTCAGGATCATGAAGCAAGATATTTCACTGCAAAATCAATTGAAACCAGAATCGATGGAGCCGTTAGTACCCCCATGCTCATTTCCTGATTAGCTATGTCCATTTATAAATTTAGTCTATGAACTAAACTATACTAAACTATAAACTAAATTATGCTTAAACTAAGATAGAACTAAGGATGACAATCTCCAGGTCGATAAAAATTCAAATCCTCACCATAGTTATCTCTCCACTCTTTGTTCCAGTTGCTTCCCCAGTCTCCTCCAAGTCCGCTCAGCACCGGCTCCTCGGGGTCGAAGGTCAGGTCCTGCCCTTCAGCACTGTCCAGCCCCTCCAGCCCGTTGTCATGGCGATCCGGGTACTCCCAAAACAGGGGCCAGAAGAGCTTCTTGTGACTGCTGGCCCATTCGGACGAGGAGACGGACCAGTCGTTTCTTTGAGATTCTTTGGCCAAGTCCATCTCCACCTCTGTCTGCGGCTGTGTGTCGTCCACCACCTCGATAGTCACCTGAGGGACGAAAAGCAGAGAGAGAATTGTTACTTTGCAGCTGCTGTTATCAACATTGCGTGGGGGTGAAGCTAACTGAAGGCACTGCTCTGTCTGAAGCTCTGTTACTCAAGTTAGACATTTGAATTGTGATTTCATCAAATGCTTTCCTCCATGCTGTTATGCTGTGTTTGGAATTGCTTTGTCATTAAGATGTTAAACCTTTCTATCTTTATGGAGACCAAAAGAGACCAGACAAGTTACAGGTCAGATCTGTGGAAAGGCGACCCCAATCCCAGTCAGAATGCTTGTTTCTCTGTGTATTTCTGAGCCATCAAACCACCTGTAATTGCAGAACATTCCAGGCAGGGCAGCTGATAGACCTAGCCTGATTCATCAGCCGGTTTCTACGAAGTGAAACCGGCTGATCTCGCAGTGCTAGAATTTGTTCGTTCGACATTAGGTGGGTACTTTTTTTATTTAACCAATCGCTGCTATTTGGTCGTGACATATGTAATGCGCCTCTAAAGGGGCTAACTGGTATATTAAGCTTTTCCCAAATCCTGTAGGAAGAAGGACAATAACTTCTTTCCCCTTGATAAAATTCACCAAACATTCTCTTTGTTCCGGCTTTAAATCCTCGATCTCGGGAATCATTGTCAACACAGAATATATGGCTCTTTGCTGGTGCCCAAACTCACACTTCCAGGGTTTCTGAGAATCGTCTAGTGTTTTCTGATTCCTGACCTAGTCTCTGGAGAGAAATTAAATTGAGCAGAGGCACTAGGTGACGCCAGCCTGGCTGTGATAGACCCTCCATTTAAAAAGTTACGCAATACACCTTTAATCTGAGCTTTATTTAAACACAATCTGACCAGAAAGAAAAGTCTTGGCTGGAACTACAACTGATGAGCTGTTTTTCATCAAATGATATGAAACACCTAAAAGTTTATATTTTTTCTTAAGTTTTCAGACAATATAAAAACTTATCAGACTATATGTTGTGTCACCACGGTAACTCCTGAACATTCTACCATAGAAATACATGTTGTTGTCCATATAGCCTAAAAATGATTGGTCAACTAGCTTTAGAAATCTGACTATTTTTTGTGTTGAATGGCAATGATTAAAAATGAAATTAAGATAGAAAGCCATTCATTTTGATTAGCCAAATTACACATATTAAATTGTGTATTTCACCAGTAAGACTCAGCCGTGGTTGATGGAGCTGTATCTTTAAGCAAGTGGCAAGAGTTCAAAATGTTAGGAAAATGTGGAACAATACTGAACGTTGTAATTTGTAATAAAAATAGATCATTATTATCTTATCAGACGCAATTAGGCCCAATCTGGTGAAGTCACGCAGTTAAAAATGACCCTGCAAATACTTCTACACAAAACTGCCAAAAAAACTGTGGCTCAGAGTCAAAAAGCAGCATAAAGATCAAATGGGGTATAACATCAAAGCCGCTCATAATGATGCTCGCTGTTTTTCTCTTTCACTTTTACATATGCAGGCCAAATGCTCCCAGGGCTAACATGCTCTGGTTGGACTCATAATAAAAGTCTATACTCATAAATATATACAGTATATATAGTCTGGTGCAGTGGTTGGTATGAGTTCATTTGATCTACATTTTTGTTCTTTTCTGTTCAAAGGTGCATTGTGTAACTTTTCTCCCTTTTCTCCATAGAGATGTTATTGTTTCGTCTGGAATGTTTCACCGTATGGTTTTAAGTCTTTCTATTTTCACAGAGACCAAACCAGACCAAGAGAGGCAACCTGCTCACAAACAGTTTTTTTTCTAGGTATTGAGCCATAAAACCGTAAATGTAAGGTAGAGCTGTTTAATATCATACTGAGGAATGACTCAAAAAGTTACAGAGTGCACCTTTAAGGCTCCGTCCCCAATTTTCCCCATGTATTTGGTTAAGTGTGTAGGCCCCATTACATTTATATATGGGCCCGGTCAAGCAGAAGTAAACAGCAAGGCCAAAAATTCAAGTTAATGCATCTGATATAAAAATGTATTCAACAGATACATATGTACTCTAGTTTATGAAACTGTTAACCTTTGTTTTGTACCATTTTTGGTTCTAAAGTTACATACGTTTTAAACAGACCATGTATGAAACATGGAACAAAAATTATTTCCCAAATTTCAAAGACCTGCAAATTATGTAAATAAATGGATGTATTTCATCATATCTTGTGTTATTCCATCTTTAAACTGTTGATGAAGGTACATGATTAAAAAAAAAAAAGTATTTAAAATGATAAAAATTTGCTTGGAAGGACTGACATATTTTATAGAAATAGTTACTTTTCATTTTGAAGTAATATTAAAGTATTCAGAAGAAAAAAGCTGAGAAATGATGTAAAATCCTGCACCTTCTACTTGTTTGCACAATTTTCCCTCCGTTACTTTTCCCTCTGTTACCATGACCTTTCTTAATAAAAAATCTCATTACTCAAAAAGTAAGAGGTTTTTCAGCCTAATCTTGTACCATATGGTAGAAAACTATATGAAGCAAATATTCAAACCAGTTTGTTAAGGATATGTAAGTGAGAACCAAGAGTTATCACTGTTTGGATTTATTGCCCAAAAAGTGCTGCATATTTCATTCCCTCCGTTACCAACATGAGTTTTTTAATTTTTTGTCAACAACTTGAAAGAATATCACAGGTTTAAGTTGACCCTGTTGGAGTGTAACTCTTTCCTACATTCTGATACTTTACTTATTTCAATAGTCCCTCTAGTTTCTGAATAAGAGACATTTGAATGTAAAAAATCTGCCCGTTTCCCTCTGTTACCTCTTGTCCGGACCCATACATATTGTAAATGCAGCTCTTGAGGTCAAAATAAGTCTGCTGTGCGGTGTCTGGATCTAATTAGAAATAGTTTTATTGTCCGATAATCAGGAAGAGTTTGTACGCATGCTAGTTTTACCATCACGGCATCACCATCACCAGCTTTACCATCACGGCAAAACACAGCTCTGGTATCTTAAAGTTAAACTTAAACTCATTGCAGTGAATAATTAGAATGCTCTGAGTGCATAAAGTAAATGAGGAATAACTTTGGACCACTGCAAACTGTTCAAGTTAGTTAAGTAAGTTTACTAGTTTTGTTTTCAGGTTTTTTAAGACAATAGAAATCAGGTCAGGTTTATGAAGCTTTTCAAAAGATTCAGAGAACAGTGTGGAGTGTTGCTGTCATGGTAAATCTAGCAACAACTAGCATGCTAACTGAACACATCCTGATTATCGAAGAATGAAACGCTTATAAGTAGAAGAAGACTTTTTTGACCTCAAGAGCTGCTACAATATATCTGTACTGGGAAAGACACATTTTACTCAAATGTATGGAAAAAAACTGAGGTACAGATCGTTAAATTTAAAGGTGCTCTGTGTAACTTGTCGGCTGGGGGTCCATCACTTGCCAGTTTTTATGGATTTGTCATTGCTCTGCCTGGAATCTTCCACAGTATGACATTAAACAGCTCTACTTTACATTTATTCAATTACAGGTGATTTTATTGCTCAAAAATACCTAGAAAAACAGGTGTTCTGACTGTGAGCGGGGCTGCATCTCCACAGATCTGACCTGTAACTTGGTCTGGTTTGGTCTCCATGATGAGCGAAAGGTTTAATGCCATACTGTAAAACATCTCAGACAAAGAAATAACATATCCATAGAGAAAAACATTTGACGGACCTGCACCAAAAACCAAAAATGCACCATTAAATACAAAAACGTCCATTTCCTCCTTGATATTTTTTCATATGTGTTTCTAGTGTTTTACAGTGCTGTTTGTTTGTTATTGTAAGATCAAATTGAGAAGCTTAGGCTATGAAAGAGAGTGATTGTGCATTTGAGAACAGGGCTGAGGGCCTGGGTGTAGAATATAACGGTATGCACAGATGATACAGAGATAGCTGCAGCTCTAGAGTTTAGAAATGCGCTCGCAGGCCCAGACAACACCCACATGTTTGTTACTTAAAGCTGTTTATAAAGAGCTCCTTGTTCAGTTCACTCAGATCTAATCAATGTTATATCTGCTGCACTGAGGATGGTGGGGTTGTGTAGTCTATAGGGAGGTCTCTGCAGCTGCCTCCTGTGCGTTTGGGTGAAATACCATAGACTGGAGATATAAATGCACATAGCTAACCCCCTGTCAATTTCCAAATAGGAAGTAAGTATGGGGGCGCTTCCTGCTCCATCAATTCTGGCTCCAGTTGACTTTACATTGAAAAATTGTCTCCCCTCTCTCTGTAACCGCTGCTGTCAGGCTCATTTTGGTCTTACAATGTTCGTATTAGAGCCCTGCACTCCTGTGGGCCTGACGCAAAACACTGAAAACTCATTGCGGGCGCGGGCAGGAGGGGACTACACAACGTGGGAGCGGGCAGGAGGGATGATAAACTGCAGTCCCGCAAACTAAATATGAGTGTCAAGTAAAATATACAAATGATGAATGTAAGCACATCATGCATCAGTTGTGCTGGATATTTTATTTGGCATTAATAAAAACATTTTAAGCAACAGTCCATCCCCCGTCCTATACGCCGCGTGCACAGTCCCTCCTCCCGTATGTCGCAGGGCTGTGCCACTAAACCAGAACTAAACCAGGTCTAAAATCAGGACTAAAACAGGATTTAGCCAGGACTTAACCATACCGCGGGACCGCCCACCGTGTCTACTCCCATACGCAGCCCAATTCTTTTCTGCTTCTCCGTGTTTAATAGAGCTTAAGAAAGCGAACGTCCCTATCCTGTGGGACTTGTGGGCGTGAGCGGGACAAAATATTGCAGATGTGGGCGGGAGCGGGACTGAAAATTCTGTCCCGTGCAGACCTCTAACCTCTAGTTCGTATTAACCCGCTCTATGTGATCCGTGTTTTTATTTCGGTTAAGCTATGTTTATATGATGATGATCTGAACAGAAGACGCAAAAGTGGCGTCGCGTCTTCACTATTTATTCCACGTTTAGAGTTTTTGGGAGGAAATCTGCATGCAGTACAGTGAGTCAAAAGTGTGTGGAATTCGATTGGGTATGGATACCAGGTTTCTGTGTACTGTATGTGCGTGATGTAAACGTGTACACGACGTGAGCAGATCTGACTAGAGTTTTGCGTCTTGGGCAATGTAGACGGAAACTCTACGGCAAACTTTTCCACTCTGGAGGGTAGTTCAGATTTTTGTGTTTTTAAGCCCCAAAAATGCCGTCACTGTCCAAATGAAAGGCACTTCCAATAAAATATTTTTTCGTTTTTACCCATGAGCGTTCTCGTGTAAACAGGCTCTAAGTAAGTTTTTATTTATATAGCGTTTTTCACAGACATTTGTCACAAGGACGCTTTACAGTTCAGTATGTAAGTTGCTATTGTAGCCACAGCTGCCCCGGGACAGACTAACGGAAGTGGCTCCCCATCTGCATTGGCCCCTCCAACCAACATCAACATTCACACACAGACCACTTTCATACTTATTTATACAGTTTGTGAAATACCAAAGACATTCAGTGTGGATCACATAAACACGTATGATGTTTAACTAATAGAACTAATGATGTTGATTTCTGTTTGGTCGTTATTATAAATTATGGATAATACTTTGTAAATTTAGCAAAACACACATGTTCAAAAGCACAATGTCATAAGACGTAACATTAAAAGGCCCATATTACGCTATTTTCTGATCTATGTTATAATGTTGTTTCCTCATCACAAACAAACCTGGAGTTGTGTTTTGTTTCTTCCACATGTGTATAGCCCTTTAACGCCCACTGTTACAAATATGCGACAAATCATTTGGATGAAGATATAAGCCGAGATAGCAGCTGCATTAACCTAGTGCCGATTAGTCCATATGCAGGACCTTCCTAAGAACCTTTGGCAAGCACTTGTTTCTAGTTGTCACAAATTTGAAACACCCAGATTTCTATTTATTTATTTTTGCTATAGTCAAATTAATAATCTCAACTTCATTTACCATCTACTTAAAAGCAAAAACACACACAGAACATTTTTATATATACATCTATATAAATTCAGGCATATATAAATTAATTCTTTCAAACAGAAAACAGTCTCTTCCTCTTTGCGATGTCATGTGGTAATACAGGAAGTGCTCCACTGTGCTTTTTAAACTCCATACACCTTCAGTAGAATCACCTGGATAATTTCAGCCCTGGAATTGCTGATCTCTAATGAAGTTCTAAAGGTAAACTTGAAAACTTCCACTAAATGACGTCACAAGGTAGAACGGAGCATTTTGACCTTTGGAGATGTAAACAGACTAATAATAAAGGATTACTCAAATGAAATAAGTATGAATGAAATAAAACACAACTCCAGGTCTGTTTTTGAGGAGGTAACAGCATTACAGCATGACTTTTGCGCAACATTTTACCTTTAAGTTCATATTTGTTTTCATCTCTAAGCTCTATAATTGATCGTACTGACATTACCATTTATTTCATTATCATTCTCCCGTCTGTACGTTTGGATCTGTTTTGAATTTCCTCTTTATCTTTCCGTGTTTTTCACCGAGGTCCCTGAACAAACGCATGCACCTCACAGTGAGAGATCTGCTCAGAGTAACACAAGACACGGCCATGAATCAAACCAGATGCTGAAAGATGGGACACATGGAGAGAGAGAGAAGAGACGAGAGGATGGAAAGAATGGAAGCGAGAGAGAGACCAAGAGGGAGAGGAAATGATGGAAGAGATAGAGAAATAGGCAGAGAGCGGATGAAAAAGATGATAGATAGACAGGAGGGAGAGGCAGAGAGAAAAAGAGAGGAGAAATGGGGCAGAGAACGAGAGAAAGGGGGAAGACAAGAGGGAGAGAGAGATAAAGACAGAAGGGAGAAATAGAAAAGGAAAAGAAGAAGGGAAAGAGAGGGACAGAAGATGGAGATGAAGGAGGGAGACAGAGGTTAGATGGGGAGAGAGAGGTAGGTGGAGGACAGGAGGAGGAGGTGATGAGAGAAAAAGGGTGGATAGGAGGCCCTGGAGAGGTTGAGAGGAATGAACAGGATGTAAAGAGAGAGAAAGAGAAAGAGGGAGAGAGAAAAGAGGAGGTGAAGAGACACTGGAGATGGGGGTGAACGAGGGGAAACGGGGATAGGGAATGGAAAGAGACAAGAGGACGGAGCAGGGAGAGGATGAAGAGAGAAGCAGGGGAGGAGGAGAGGAAGAGAGGAGGTAAAGAGAGGAAAAATAAGAAATGAGACAGAGGGTAGGTCATAGTAGAGCTGTAGGGATTAGTGGTTTAATCCAGTCCACCTGCACGCAGCCTGATAGTGAGCCCGAGGCGGAGCTGGGACCTGCTTTTCAACACACGTGTCCCCAGACTCGCACACACACTCACACACACTCACACACACTCACACAAACGCACACAGACCCACAGAGAGAGAGAAAGGTTAGGGGACATTTATTTAGATCACTGACATACCAGGGGTTTCAGAGGAATGCTGTGTACTCTTAACTAGTTGCTTCCTTTTTTATTGGAGTCACAGCAGGGAATTAGATTTTTCACATTTTTAGGTAATTACGACGTTTCAAACTGGCAACAATTCGGTTTAGAGTTCAAAATACACTTTAATTATTATTGTTGGTTACTTACGCACAATTATACCACTAAAGGAAATCAAAGTGCTCTCTGTTACTTTTTAGTGAGGTGATCATTATGGGCTTGTCTCCCTCTCCCTGTCCTCAGCTGCTCCTCTCCACGTGGAGGAGCAGCGGCTCTACTCTGAGCTCCTCCTGCATGACTGGGCTCCTCACCCTGTCTCTAAGGGAGAGGACAGCCACTCTGCAGAGGAAACGCATCTCGACTGTTTGTGTCCACCATCTTGACCTTTTGGAATTACCTAAAGCTCATGAGGTGAGGGCAGGACCAGAGATCTGAACCAGAATTATACCAGGACTAAACCAGGACTATAACAGGACTAAACTAGGACTATACCAGGACTGAAACCAGGGCTAAACCAGGACTAAACTAGGATTATATCAGGACTAAACCAGGATTATACCAGGACTAAACCAGGACTAAACCAGGACAAAACCAGGACTGAACCAGGACTAAACTAGGAATAAACCAAGACAAAACCAGGGCTATACCAGGATTAAACCAGGACTATACAAGAACTAAACCAGGACTATACCAGGACTAAACTAGGATTAAATCAGGACTATACCAGGACTAAACCAGGACTATACCAGGATCATAGATGAGAGTAGGAACATAGACTGTGCAGTAAATCAACAGCTTTGTCCTGTGGACTCAGCTCTTTCCCTCAATGTGAAAAAGACCTCGAGATACTTGAACTGCTCCTCTCAGATAACCATAATATTAAATGTCTGCTTTTCCCCCCACAGTAAAACATTATATATTTCATATAAGACAGTCCCACCCTTCAGTCTCACCTGTATGTTGGGGTTCTGAGAGCTCATGTCTGCGTTGGCGAGCTCGGGAAAGTTCCTGATGTCCAGTATGAAGGGTGCAGGGTCCTCATGGGGCTCAGGCTGAGGCAGCACCCCGGGGTGACGAGGGTGAGGCCAGCGCTGACGGGAGAGAGAGGAGGAGGGGGAGGAGAGGGAGGAGGGCAGGGTCTGGAGCAGGTTCTCCTCCACCAGCTCCTGTAGACTCTGAGGACTGTCTGTGTGATCTGAGGAGGCCTGTGAGAAACAAACTTTAGGTTAGTTAGATCTTAAAGACATGTTATGGTATTTAGTATAAAAACTACAACTTAGGCTAAATGCTCAAGTCGGATTTTTTTAGGAAATCCAATTTTTTTGTGAGGTTGTTCACATTTCCAATTAAATGTGACTTGTATGTGATCTCCAGTGTGAACTTTAAATGCCCCAAAAGTGTCCCACATGCGCATTGGAGGACACGACAACATCAGAGCCAGCGAGTGTGCTTAATGTTGATGGAAGTCACCTAAACATTGGGCTTGTCTCCCAAAATATGGGCTAGTTCTTCGTAAAATCGACAGAATACATGTCCACGGCTGCGGAGTCCACGGAGTCTTTAGCCTCCTTGTAATTGGCTTTATTTTGTGTTGACATTGGAGCCAGGACCATCTGTAGCCGCGTTCAGACATTTCTTTGGCAATCGTTTCAAGAAACACCCAGTTCCAATAAGACACTTGAAATTTGGCCTGAACACAGCGATCCCCCCAAATATTAATAAACTCAATCTAAACTAGCCTCGCTTTCCCTCCATTGACTAGACTCTGAGCCTGACGTGTAGGCTGGATGAATGTGACCTGGACGTTCAGACTGAAGTCACATGTCAAAAAATCGGATCTGTATGGGTTTTAGGAGCACATATCCAAGTGTCCTGGGTCACATTTGAAAAAATGGGATCTGTGTTATTCAGACTGTCATTAAAAGATCAGATAATGGTCGCATATGGGTAAAAAAATCGGATTTGGGTCACTTCAGGCAGCAGTCAGAACATAATCATAAATTATTTTGCTTTTTGTTCATTGTAAACTGCTTAATAATATATGTCTAAAATGCCTTCATAAGAGTTCCACAAATGTATTAGTCTGGGATGATTGTCGCTGAAAGTGATCGGAAAACAGCGTCATGACTATTTGAATTTGATTGGTTGAAGCTTCACAACAGATATACAGTATTTTCACTCAAATAATCTGAAATGTGTTTGTCAGTGTCACTTTGGCTTCAGTTCAAACCTCAAAGTTGCAACGTGATATGTTCTCCAGTTCTAATTCTCATGAGTTTGTGAAGTTTTTTACCCTGTCTTTTTATTTATCTATTCTTTTCACACAGTATAGGGATGTTAGCCTGATTCATCAGCAGGTTTCACTTTGTAGAAACTGTCTGACTTTGCAGTGTTAGGATTCATTCGCTCGACAGTAGGGGGGTACTTTTTATCATTTAACCAATTGCTGTTATTTGGTCTTGAAGAATGTAACGCACCGCTAACTGGTATATCAAGCTTTTCCCAAATCCCGAAGGAAGAAGAACAATAACGTCTTTCCCCTTGATAAAATTCACTAAACATTCTCTTTATTCCGGCTTTAATTCCTCGATCTCGAGAGTCGTTGACAACACAGAATATATGACTCTTTGCTGATTGGCTGGTGCCCGAACTGTCACTTCCGGGGTTTTTGCGAACCGTCTAGTTTATTTTGATCCCTGACCTAGTCGCTGGAGAGAAATGAAATTGAGTGGAGGCACTAGGTGGCGCCAGCCTGGCTACAGGGACGCTGGCTTCTGTTAAGTTTAATGCAGCTCAATGTTAAAACTGAGTACTTTCCCCACCCACTCCTCGTATTGTTCATCTTCCATCATGGAGTGATTGACAGGTGATTTAAACTAATCACAGCGAACTATGGGCTCTCTAAAGAAGCAGCTAGAATACTGGATATCATTTCTTGCCGTATTGCCTATCTCTATTTAAGCTAATACTGTGTATTTTACGCAATAAAGTCTCTAAAGAAATATTATGCTTTGCTTGAAAGTGTAAGTCTATACAGCTCCTCTTTTAACACTGTACTTTTGTTGTTCCCAAATGTTCAGTTAAATGTTACAGTAAGTGAACGGCTCTCAGCTCAAGGTAAAGAAAACACACTGAACTATTATAGGTAAGTGTCTGGGAACTGGGGCAACTTTAAACTACAAATATTATCTGAGGAAAGACGATTTTCAGTAAAAACTCCTATTCCACAGAAGTCATGAGCAGCGCCCAGATGGAAGCACTCTGTGGGTTAAGTGTGGGTCTCAGTGTAAAATAGCGCTTCAGTTCAGTAGATGGAGAAGCATGTCATTTTTCCATCAAATATTATTAAGTCTTTTCCACAAAATTAAATACCAACACTGAGAATACTACAATTTTTGGTCCCTATCAGAAAATACGTGGAAATTTGTTTATAGAATGTATTATAGTAGTCTTTCTTTCAGACCATCAAGTGCCCCAATCTAGAGCTGTGCAGTTAGTAGAATTATAATAGAGAGTGACCAGATTTGTTAATGATTTTTGGGAATTGGGCCTTTTGAGCAGTCTACGGCCAATCTTCTGTCATTAAAAACATGTGGTTTGGAGCACAGTTTAGATTTTAGAGGAAGAAATTTGACTGATTGTTTATGGCTAGGAAATTAATACAGGAATAAACAAATACTTTAATCAAATATAATAACATTTTATCAATCCATTTGCAAAAACACATCTCAAAAGCCTTCTTGCTGTGAGATGGAAGTGTGTCAAACCTCGATCGATATATTTTTATGTATTTTGGGGCTTAAATTGTATCATCTGTATGTTTTCTTTGCAATAGTGGGAGGATTTTTGTAGTTTTGTTATAATACGATGAAAGATTTGAGCTGTGGAGAGTAGAATAAGTCATTTCTACGAGCAATTATTTCTTCGTTCTGCTATTTATTTATTGCATCTTATTGTCCTGTCACACCTTGACAATTTAGCCAGAGTATGCCGACGTACCAGAATGTCCCTAAACTGCTGGAATGCGCTGACCTATCGCTGTTTTTTTGGTTTTTTTTTTGTTTTGGGTGCATACATAGCATGATCATAACGAGTTGAATGTATACATAAAATATTAGTAACTTATACAGAAAGCTTTGATAACTTATACATAACTTATACCAACAACAGTCAAACTTCTGCATAGCATATTGCAGCGAAACTCACATGTCGTCACCTATAAAAATGTTGCCGCTCGACGATTCATAACTGCACTAGACATGACAGCAGCAATCAGCGTCTCTTCTTCTCGTGGCTCTATTGGCACGCAGCTGTTACAGTGACAAATCGATGAGATCGCGCTGATGTTGGAGATCAGCTAGTATGTATTCTCGTCTCAGCCTTGCCGCATCTTCCATCTCTCAGATGATCTGTGTAGCGGGTGGTACCATGGGGTCTGCAAAGTCTGGAGGAATACTGACGGTTTCCCCATTTTTATATACCAATTTCCCTACACGCTGCCAATACCCCATTCACTAGCTAGGACCACGCCAACAATGACATAGTGCGAAGAAGTTTATTGATAATGTACGAAGCGAGGTAAAGATGGCTGGGTTGAGACTATGGTTGGGGGCGCCGTCTCAATCTACAATTGGCCCAGCCGGAACGGGACCCCCCTTGTAGGCGTCTTATGACTGAAAGACAAAATAGGGGATGGGAGGGTGGGGTCGAGTTCGCCGAGACAAACTGGGATGATGGGAAAGGCTGCTACATATAGGCTTCTGGGAAATTAGAGGCATGGTCGAGGTGAGTTGTGGTTCGCTGGTGAGAGGAGAGGGCGGCTGATGCGTGGTCCTGCTCCTGAATCCCAGTTAATCATATTAACTACATTTATAAGTTAGAAACACGTTCAGTAAGTTCTGCGGTCGTCGGAACATGTCAAACGCGTCTGCGTACGTCAATATGTGTTGGAGATAAGTTACACATAGGTTCAGAGCATGTTACTCATAAATTATGGGTACACTAGACATTATCTCAACGTATTTGGACTTGTGAGTAACTTACAATTAACATCTGTGAAAGCGTGTCAACAATCGCATAACTTATGGCTCACGAAAATTTTTAGCATGCTCAAAATGTTTTGACGACCTTGCCTTATGTCGTCGACGTATGCCAGCTTGCTTCAGAGTGCTCATAACTTATCCAAAACGTACCTATAACTGATTTGATGGACACAAGTGTATTTGCCATATTGTTCACACATCGGTGTACACTGGCTAAATCGTTAAAGTGTGTCAGACCCTTTAGGCCTTTTAATGACACCCTTCTGTTTAAATATTTTATACTGTGATTATCCTGGGATATTATTGCTTTTGGATCAGTGGCAGTATATATCTGTAGCAATGTATCGTGCTTCAAATTGTGTTATCGTGACAGGCCTGGCAAACCCCGCATACACGAGCTATCAGCCCGGGAATAGCACCTCTAACCATCTTGTCACCATAGCTTCCATTGCTTCTCTAAGTGTGTTGCACCTTCACGCACATTAGCACACACACACATGGGCTTGGATTCACTCAGACGCCGGCCCCATTTATAGACTCCATGCGATGAGTGCATGTCTGAGGAACAATTGTGATTCAAGACGTTTACAGGTTTAAAATTAGCTCGGACCGACTGGACGCTTTGAAATATAAAAGTGTGGGGGGTTTGTAATGAGGCTGGTATCTGACGTGTGCACGCTAACAGGAATGACTCAGAGATTTTTATGTGTAACTCAAGATGACCAGCTGTGCGCTAAAAATGTTGTCCAGTTTGTAGTCCAATTTGAAGTCCAATTTGTAGTCCAGTTTGTAGACCAAGTTGAAGTCCAGTTTGTAGTCCAGTTTCAAGTCCAGTTTGAAGTTCAATTTGAAGTCCGGATTGTAGTCCAGTTTCTAGCAAAATTTGTAGTCCAGTTTGAAGTCCAGTTTGAGGTCCAGTTTGTAGTCCAGTTTGAAGTCCAGTTTGTCGTCCAGTTTGTAGTCCAGTTTGTAGTCCAGTTTGTAGTCCAGTTTGTAGTCCAGTTTGTAGTCCAGTTTGTAGTCCAGTTTGTAGTCCAGTTTATAGTCCAGTCTGTAGCAAAATTTGTAGTCCAATTTGTAGTCCAGTTTATAGTCCAGTTTAAAAGTCCAGTTTGTAGCAAAATTTGTAGTCCAGTTTATAGTCCAGTTTGTAGTCCAGTGTG